GATTGATTTTTTTTTTTTTTATGTTAATCATTTAGTCTATGTTTGGTGTATATTAAAAGTCAAAAAATTTAATTTAAAGTCAATAATTAATTTTAATCACACATTTCATAGAACCTACAACTTTTCAATAGTACATTTCATCATTTTTTAAAATCAAAATCTACTAAAAATCTAAGCTAAACAGGGACTTAATATAACTTTAGCTATAATTTTATCACTCCAGCAGTTCGAGTCTGTTAGTTAAACAAATGTAAAAAGTGTCACATGAGCTAAATATTTGCTAATTAAGCTACCACCTAGACAATTACATTAGCTTTTTCCCTAGCTACAATTGAATAATCAAGTTTTAATTTATGTTTAAGTTCCTGTATCAAGTTTAAATAAAGTCTAAGTTCAATGACCGACTTGTAACAAAATAAGATTTAGTGAAAAACATTGTATTTCGTAAAAAGTTTGTTTACTACGTGCCGAACATTATTTATGAAGTTCATGAAGTTCCATAAAGAAAATATCATTTGAACAAGTCAAACCAGATAAGTTTCTTGAGTTGACAAATAAACACGTAAATGTCAAACAGCTTGATGCTAATACAAACCAACTAATTAGGAAAATAAAAATTTAAAAATAATCTGCATATATTAATATTAATCTAATGATCAAATGCACGACACGTCTAACGATTTCTTCCATTGATATTGCTGACTTTTTGGTTAAACGTTGACATTAATAATGCCTATTATCACACATCCAATTATAATCCTAAAACCAAGAAAATGGCTCGCACCAAATATTATTTTTATATATTTATTATTCACTACTGACTTAGTCAATAGTCTAGTAAGTTGGCTGTGGCATTTATTATTTCAAGGTTCAACCGATTTATTCAATGATGACATAAAATTCTATATATAATTATGGCAATTTTCATCAGCTTTCAGGAAATTTCAATTGGATCATTGAATTTTAATTTTTTTCAATTGAGTAACTGAACTTCAATTTTAGTTTCGAATTTCACTCGTTCATGTCGTATCACAGATTGAAGAATTAATTTATAGTCATACCATAATGAATATTCTATGCAATCACTTTGCGACTTCCAATTTACCATTATTCCACGTACTAAAAATGTTTTTTTTTAATATATCTTTTAACATTTTTATCTAAATCATTGTTATAACCTAGCGATTAAGTGGAATATCACTTATTGCTACCAGCAAATAAATTCTCCCTAGTCTATAGGATGATAGATATATGGTGGAATGTGACATCAATGAAATTTGAAAATTAAATTCAAGTTCAATAACTCAATTGAATAAACTAAAATTTAGTGACCCAATTGTAATTCATTGAAAGTTCAGTGATCTAGGTATAATTTACCGATCCAAAATAGATGTAAAATATTATTAGTCAAAATTATTGGTCGTAGTTGAACTTAAAATATCTCAATAATGTAAATGAGTTTTGTTTTATTCTAATCAAGTCACTAAATTTTCAAATTAGTATCAATTTGATCACTTCGTTCGTCTAAGTTCTAACTAAGCTTACCCGACCAAAATTTCGCTACATGTTAAGGTGTGTGGTGAACTAAGTCGAGGAGAGGATTCCCAGTCGAGAAGAGTGATTTAGGTTTAGCCTATAAATAGATAAATACGACGATCTTTGTCCTATTCTAATCACCATAGCCTAGCCTAAACACCAGTGGAGGGGAGAGTATATGTATTACCTGGCAAGAGCAGATGGATCCCAAGTAGAAGGAACAGCGTTTCGTACATGGTCAGCCAGAATAAGAGGAAATCGATCAATATGAACATTGAAAAGCACAATGAAATAGCCATCAAGCCCTAAATACTTTGTGTTTGCTGCATCTATAGTCCATGATCCACTCTGAAAACCAAACGATGAATTGAACAAACCCGACGGAATTTTCCCAGGCACTGAACATTTCTGGTTGAAGAATTCTGACATCTGCACCAGTTCCAACAAAATTCAATCATTGTGAGATCGATAATGAAAAGGATTCACATTTTCGATTTAATCTCCAACTGAATACCTGATTGAAATCGAGGATATCGGATTGGTATCGCGTGCGGTCACCTTTATCGCATTTGATGTCAATAGAAACGTCTTTGAATGTTCCATAACCCGGAACTGAAAGCTCTCTTGTATTCGTTTCATTAAGCAAAACGAGTCTATTCTCCCCTTTACAATATTTGAGTCGAAAATCGGAGGTTAAATCAATTCCTTTTCCAAGGCTGCTAAGAGCCCGCTGCACAATTCCTTCGCTACTCATTCCTCAGACTTAAATTTGTTTTATTTGGGCAGCTTGAATGAAAATATTGAGCATATTGGTCTGGTTAAAAGAGTAGAATGGGAAATTGAATTTGAAGAGAGAAATCGGTAGGAATTTTCATTCTTTTCTTGTTTTTTGTTTGAAAATGTGTGTATTATATGCATATATTATTTGACTGCTCTTTGAGTCTTTAATTAGCATATCATCTGATTCGGTAAACCTTCTTGGCTTCACACAGTATGAACATTTGTACGAGCCTCCAAAGAATTTACTTATGAGTAAATAACAGCTTATCTTGAAATAAAAAATTGTTTTAAAAGTATATTTTTCTATCAAGCAAGTTTATGGGTAGACAAAAATACAGTCCGCATAAGAATAAGGCCAAGATGCAGTGCAAACATATACACGACGACAAGAACCGATTTTCATAGTATTTAGTCCCGTTTGGTAAGGATTAAAATTTAGATTTTAATTTAAATTGAATTCGACAATTAATTCTAATTACATATTTTATAAGACCCACAACTTTTCAATTGTACATTTTTTCAATTTTTTTATCAAAATCCACTAAATAGGGACATTTTGAATGTCCGATTTCCAATTTTTCTAATTCGACCGGATTGTTCAATCTTATTTTCAAAACATTTATTATACTTGTCATTATATTTGTTCTAGGCCATAAACTCCCACGTTATATGACATGATGTTGATTTAATTGAAAAATATGCAAACATAATTATGGAATTGAATTTTTTTAGGTCCGAATACAGATCAAAAATAAATTGACGAGACCAATTCTCTAAGTAAAATTCAGCATTTCTAGAAAGAAAATGATCTGATAGCTCAGATATTGTTATTCATGATATTGATCTGATTCAAGAACGTCGAGAGGCAATTCAGCATTTCTAGAAAGGGAAATAAGTAGAGAGAAGGGGTTAAAATGGATATTTCATAGACGGTTTGGACATTCCCCCGAAGATCAGGCATGTGTTTCTTTGTAACAGTAGATATCTTCACGCATTTCTTGCTTAAAGAAGTTAAAGTGCATCAACAATTATAATGCTTAAGTAATTTTTCTTTTTCATATTTTATTCTTTCGCTCTATTTCGTACCCCATAATTTAATTTTTTATTTTTCTAATGTACTTTTTGTTTTTACTATTTTACTCTCTCCAATTTCCTTCCAATAATTTAGCCTCCATCTAGAATGATGGTTTAATTTATGAATAATATATATGAGAGGTGAATAAGTACATACTAATTGTGAATCTATTGAAAATTTGAAATGCATGATTGGAAAGAAATTTAACCAATTCTCGTGAGCATCATTTTAAAAAACGTAGAATGTGACTAAACTTTGATCGTTAGAAGAAAAGTGGGGGCTACATGTGAGTGAAAAAGTAAAAAATGACGGTTGGAATAGTGAAATAACGATAAAAAAAATCAATTTTTTGGTGTGAAAAAGCACTACCAAACGGGGTCTAAGTAAGATCTAGGTAGGAAAAAAAAAAAAAAAAAGACAACATTTTTCTATTTTTAATATTATTTTAAATTTTAATCTTCTAAAAACTATTTAATAATTAAAATAATACGTACCAAACATCTAATATTATAATATATTATGTTACTTAATAAATCCAACAGTTTGTCAATTATACAATATCTAAGTTTTCGAAATTCAAAAATTAGACTATTTTCCGTTATTTAACTTTCAACTAGACAAGTTATATTAATAGATTTATATGAATTTCATATATACTTTTGAAGTTTCCAACAGAATTTTAAGGATCAAAATCATAACTACATAATTTAGATACCAACGCGTTTTCATTTTTGACTTTTGTATAGATAAAATCATTTCAAAACTTAAACTAAAGTCAAATATAAGGTTCGTTAAAAAAATGAAAAAAGTAAAAATTAATAAAGTGCGCCTTGTTGCATCTAGTTGTGCATCAAGGGAAGGGGTCAACTTGACAATTGATTGCTTAGTTTCATGTTCATTGTCAGGACGAGGCGTTTCAATTGCATCTAACCGTCTTCTAGACGTTCTTTTTGGAACACTATTCACAAGATAAATTGTGGAAAGCATTTGTGTGTTCCGCCAAATATCTAAATAACAAGTGATATGGTCGTTTAAAAACATAGACTAAGAAGATTTTCAAAGCTAAAATCAAATCTGGTTTCAAATCGGCGTGACCAATTTTCAAAATATTGATCGTTCGTCGGATTCTCAAAACACTTGTTTCCAATTGTAGTTCATAATAAGTGTGAATGTGCCTTAACTTTCACTCCTTCTCCACTCGCTTACAAGACTCAGTGTGAATATCAGAAATTTGGTAGACAAAATCCCAGCAGGGTAGCCCCCAGTATTTTGTTGTTGCCTGTCTCATAAATCACTAGAATTCTATTGCGTCAGGCTAAGGAGAAAGAGACATTTCAAGTATAGATATATATGCTTTTCATGGATTTTTGGCTGCTCCAAAAAAAAAAAAAAAATGAAAATTAAAAAGAATAACGACGACGACTCGATTATGAAATACTTCATGACAAGTACGGTCCACTCCATTAATATGCTAAACATCAGAATTGAAGACTATTTTATTTATTATTATTATTATTATTATTATTATTTTTTAATGATGCAATGAGTTTCACTCGGCTTTTGTAAATGAAAAATTCTAAATGGATAGGCCTGTTGACAGAGATTAAGGTCACGACTGACCTCAGCCCCTGTCAGCAGGGACAAACCCTGTTTGTGTAGAATGGTTGTTTGTAAATTGCACCAAACCTATGCAGTTATGAAGAAGTGCAACATTTCAATATTGGGTAATTGGCACAAAAAAAAAAAAAATCATTATCTTCATTACTCAAAAAGTCAAGCTACACTTATAGGGAGAAACTTCACAGAATTAATACAGATAAGACTCAATAGTGGTACGAGTGATTTATTTTTGTAATAAATTATTCACATGAGGCCCACACCCATGTGAAAGCCTATGAGTTTTTTTTTCTGTACACTGAGAATAATTGTTACTCAAATCGTTTTTAATGTTAAATTATTATTATTATTTTTTTTTTGTCATTTTAACCCTCAAATCAATCTTTTATTGTTCAAATACATCAGTGTTGTCCCGTTTTGTCAAATAGACACGTGTACACTTTTGACAAAAAAAATTCAGCATTCGACCCTCCTAGGAAGGCTAAAATATTCTCTACACAATTTAGCACTTGATTGGACTCTAATAAAATTCTAATGCATTTTTTCCTTTCTCTGTTTGACTACTCATTTTTCAATAAAATAATATTACAAGTAAATTCAAAATTCTTCTTTTTTTTTAATCACACACTGTCTAAAAAATTGCTATTTCAAAATAGATTTTTCCAAAAATTTCGTTAAAATGGAGCCCAAACAAAGGCTTAATTAATTAAACAACTTAGTCTTTGTTTGAATATCATTTTTCAATCAAAATACATTTTTAATAGTGATTTAACACCATTTCAACCACACATTTTTTAATAAAATAATATTACAAGCAAACCAATTTTTATTTTTTTAACCACACATTATTTATCATAATATTATTTCAAAATACATTTTTTTTTAGAAAAATGGGGATCAAACAATGCCCAAAATATTTAAAAATAAAATAAAATTAAAAGTACTTTTCCCAACCTTGCCCTTCCGGGGTTTTGAAAGTAAAAGTCGCCCGTATTTCGTCCTCGTTATGCCTCTATTAAATTAAATCTCATTTTTCTCTCTTTTATTTTCAATCACACAATCTTACATAAAATAATATTACACGTAAATCGAAAACTTTTTTTTTTCAATCACTCGTTTTCCAAAAAAAAAAAAAAAAAAAAAAAAATTTTCCCCCCTTTTTAATTTTTAAAAATGGGGCCAAAAAAAAAAAAAAAAACTATTCCACCCATTTTAATTTTTAAAAATGGGGGCCAAACGAGAGCTCCGTCTCAACTTCTATAAAAAAAATTAAAGGAATAAGTTAAAAGACTAACAATGTGTGTCAATTGAAACGCACCACAAGTGCATGGCATTTGATGACATAACGCCAACAACGGCCTTACGTAAATATAATTGTTATGCGTCCATAATCAGAAGAAGACAATAGATGGGTTGAAACTGAATTGATGAATACTTTGAATTTCTAGTCAAATACAAAGTGACAACAAAACTAGTTCACACCCTTTGTAGTAAACATAGAATTTCCAATCAATTATAACTTATGCTGACAAATTTTAATGGGAACATGCACATTAATAAAATTTACTTGAGTTACAACTGTAGAGATATAGCTAAGTAACTAAAAATGAAATTAACTTTTAAAAGATTTTTTTGGGATTTAAAAAGTTTTTAAAAGTCACGATGTATTCAATTAAAATTTTTTATAAGTTTCTAAAAATCTTGGAGTATTCAAATTATTAATAACTTCTAAAAACTTTTATAAAAACCTTTAAGGTACTAATTTTTAAGCATAAAGTATTAAAATAAAATTTCAAAATTTGTCAATCATTCATCCAAAGATCTTGGGAGGCTTTCACAAAAAATGAATATGCATTTTTGCTTATTTTAATATTTCTTCTTTTACCTTCTGCGAACATCAGAGACATGAATAAAAATTATTTGATTCTACTGGTTATAATTGTTTTTATTTTTTTCTCTCTCTTATTTTTCCTCTCTATTTTCTATGAAAAAAAATCAGATTTTAACTAATCTACTTTTCTTTTCATTTTTTCTCTTTCTTCTTCTTCTTCCTCCTCCTTTTTTTTTTTTTTAAAATCTCTATTTTCTATAAAAAGTTAAATTATAATTAAAGATTCTTATAATTATTTTTGTTCTTCATCATTTTTTTTAATGAAAAATTTCTATTTGTAATTTCAAATTATAAGATTCTATATAAAAAACTAGTTTATAATTAAATTTAAATATATTGATTTCTTGTAGGGTTGGACATGACCCGATTCTAACAAGAATCGAGTTGAACCCAAAATTTTTGGATATTTACTAAGTGAAACCGCAAGGTCCAAATTTAATTATGGAACCATTCGGGTTCGGTTCTATTCAGTTTGATTCTATTCAATTCCGAAGTTTTGTATTATAATTAAAATTTTTAATACTTACAAAGCTACATTAATTCAACTAATGAT